TGCAATAATGGTTTTTTTTGGTTGGTTTATTTCGGTTGTTTTTTGAGGTGTGGTCCTTGAAATGTGATTTTTTTATACATACTTTTTAAAAAATCTTTGTTAGCGCGGTTTTACCGCGAATTTGTTATGATTATTTTGTTTTGTTGATGTGAAAGATTGTGCTATTACTAATGTTGTTGTTAGTTATTTCTGGTGTCTCGTTTGTTTATATATATATTAAGTTTAGATTTTAAGGCTGTTAACCCTAAGGTGATGTATTAATTATCTATAAGCGTTTGTCCCCCCCTGGTTGTAGTTAAAAAATAACGTGTGTTTTGGGGATACAAGTTTTTCTGTGAAATAATTAGATATCGTTGATAGGGCTGCAAATAGCAGGTTACTCTGATATAGTGATTTGTGAGGATTATTCTTCCGTCAACAGTGTTGCTAAATAGGTTGTTTTCGTTTGTTAAAATCTCAACAACTAAAACAACAAAATACTTTTTTCAATTTATGAACCCATATGAGTGTGGGTTTAAATCATTTGGGACAAGGGTAAGAAACTTTAGTTTGAGGTTTTTGCTATTGTTGGTTTTTTTTGTCGTTTTAGATGTTGAGATAGTATTATTATTAAAAATGGGTTTGTCGGAGATTTTGTGGGGTTCGTTGGTTTATTATTTGTTTTTTTTGGTTTTTGTTACATTTAGTTTTTTTTACGAGATACAGTATGGCTTTAGAAAGTTTGTTAAATAGGGTGGAAACTTACCTTTGTTACTGCTAATAACATATTCAGATGTGTGGAATGTCTAGTTTCCTTAGATTTATAAGTTAAGTTAAACTATTTGTTTTCAAAACAATAAATAAGACCTGTGGTTTTAAATTTGAAAATGAAAAAAGTTTTTATTTTATTTTCTTTGAATCATAAGAAGATAGGTATAGTTTATTTGTTTTTAGGCATGTGGTCTGGTTTTGTAGGGCTGGGACTTATTATGATAATTCGTTTAAACTTAATGAGTCCATATCATAAAATTATTTCGACTGAGTTATATAAATTTACAATAACAAGGCACGGTATTGTAATGATTTTTTTCTTTTTGATGCCTGTTTTAATTGGAGGGTTTGGTAATATTTTATTACCAATATTCACACGACAGGGTAATATGAAGCTTCCACGAATTAATTCCTTTAGTCTTTGAATATTAATACCATCCATAATAAGGTTGTTGATTAGTATGTACTTGGGCTCAGGTGTTGGGTGAACGTTTTACCCCCCCCCTCCTATCTAGAAAGTATTTTTCTCGTAGTGGTGTGAATTATATATTAATTTCTTTGCACTTGGCTGGTTTGTCTAGGATGTTAGGAGCGTTGAAATTTATTATAACTTGCAATTGTTATTTTTATTCTACCTGTTCTGGTTTAGACTCTAAGTTATATGTAGATTGGGTACTTTGCACCCCAATGTTTATGTGGGGTTATTATTTTACCTCTTTTTTATTGTTTTTATCTATTCCAGTTTTGGCAGGAGCCATAACAATGCTATTATTCGATCTTAGATTGGGAATATCCTATTTTGATCCACTAGGCGGTGGTGATTCTATAATGTTTCAACACATGTTTTGGTTTTTTGGACATCCGGAGGTTCATGTCTTAATATTACCTGGTTTTTCTATGATTGGACACATTTGCACAGAGTTGAGAAATTGAGAGTCGCCAGTGGGATACTTGGGCATGGTTTTAGCAATGTTTTCAATAGTTGTACTAGGATTTATTGTTTAAGCCTATCACATGTTTACAGTTGGCATGGACATAAAGAGTATATCGTTTTTTAGTGCTGTCACAGCACTAATTGGTATACCAACGGGTGTAAAAATGATTTTGTGGGTGTCCATGTTAACCACCGAATCAGTTGGCTTGGGTGATCCTGTGGTTTGATGGATAATTTCTTTA